CATCCATTTTAGTCATTTTTCGTTTGTTTTTCCTAAATTCCACCATATTCATCAATGTTATCCTGCAACACATAATTTTTTTTAGAACTAAACCGTATTTCAATATAATTGCTAATAATTAGCAATCGACATAGAGATATAATAGGTTGAACCAATAAATTTAGGTCCATTTCTCTCTCTCAAGAGGTAATTAACTAAAATAAAAAATCGGGTATAACATCGTAAATGGGTAGTTTGTTAATTCACTTATAGAGAAATTAATTAGGTGACGGTTAAGCGAAATCATGAATCCTATCCACCCTTTTCCTTCAATAATTCCAAGTTAAATTTATGTTTTCTTATTCTGTAGATTTTTAGTTCATTTTACTTATCTTCAAAATTCAAGTCTTGTTGTATTATATTTTTTTTTTTGTTAAAATAAGATCGATTAAAATTGTATAATCTAAAGTAAACATTTCTATTAGGGATCGACAACTCAGGCTCACAACGTCTACATTATTAATTGAACGTGACTGGTGCAACTGTGGTTTGTACTTTCATAGCTAATAATAATCAAGAACACAAAAACTTGGTAGAAAGGCTCAAATACAAAATCGTTGTTTTCAAACGATATTTGTTCCATCTAGAATTTAATAAGTATTTAAAGGTTCACTTAGCAAATAATTTATAGGATTGATCAAGCCTTTTTGGAAAAAAAAAAAAAAACACTTAAACACAAGTAATTTTACTTCCAAAACTCAATGATCTAGGAAATTGAATATGTATTGAGAAAAACACAAGCACAAATGATTTTATGGATTGATTTGCTGTTTCTTGTTTCAATTTGTGTTGAGAAATGGAAAACTATCTCCTATATATAATTTTCCATCAATACAGCACGAACCCGCCCCCAACAAATGATTCACAAAAAGTTGAGATTTTTCATGAAAGTTCGGGAAAAAATGAACTAGAAATTCAAACCCCAACGGTCAGAAAATTGAACTGGGAGATCGCCCAGTACAAAGTTTTTTCTCGTGTTCTAAAAGTGAGGTTGGATGAAAAAAGTGTGTCTGGTCGAAGCCTGGGCAATTTTCTCAATTTTTCCTTTTTTCTTTCGGTTGTTTTTGTATTTACTTGATACACTCATACATCGTTTGATCATTCCAAATACAAAATCGTTGTTTTCAAAAGATATTTGTTCCCTCTAGAATTTAATGGGTATTTAAAGGTTCACTTGGCAAATGATTTACAGGATTGATCAAGCTTGTTGAAGAAAAACACTTAAAGCACAAGTAATTTTACTTCCAAAACTCTATGATCTAAGAAATTGAATATGTATTGAGAAAGACACTTAAGCACAAATGATTTGATGGATTGATTTGCCATTTCTTGTTTCAATTGTGTTGAGAAATGGAAATATCTCCTATATATAATTTTTCATCAATACAGCACGAACCCGCCCCCCCAAAAAATGATTCACAAAAAGTTGAGATTTTTCATGAAAGTTTGCGAAAAAATGAACTAGAAATTGAAACCCCAACAGTCAGAAAATTGAACTGGGAGATCGCCCAGTACAAAGTTTTTTCTTGGGTTCTAAAAGTGAGGTTGGATGAAAAAAGTGTGTCTGGTCGAAGCCTGGGCAATTTTCTCAATTTTTCCTTTTTTCTTTCGGTTGTTTTCGTATTTACTTGATACACTCATACATCGTTTGATCATTCCAAATACAAAATCGTTGTTTTCAAAAGATATTTGTTCCCTCTAGAATTTAATGGGTATTTAAAGGTTCACTTGGCAAATGATTTACAGGATTGATCAAGCTTGTTGAAGAAAAACACTTAAAGCACAAGTAATTTTACTTCCAAAACTCTATGATCTAAGAAATTGAATATGTATTGAGAAAGACACTTAAGCACAAATGATTTTATGGATTGATTTGCTGTTTCTTGTTTCAATTGTGTTGAGAAATGGAAAACTATCTCCTATATATAATTTTCCATCAATACAGCACGAACTCGCCCCCCAACAAATGATTCACAAAAAGTTGAGAATTTTCATGAAAGTTCGCGAAAAAATGAACTAGAAATTCAAACCCCAACAGTCAGAAAATTGAACTGGGAGATCGCCCAGTACAAAATTTTTTCTCGGGTTCTAAAAGTGAGGTTGGATGAAAAAAGTGTGGCTAGTCGAAGCCTGGGCAATTTTCTCAATTTTTCCTTTTTTCTTTCGATTGTTTTCGTACTTACTTGATACACTCATACATCGTTTGATCATTCCAAATCACTTGGTATTATATTATTAAACAAAATTACAACATTGTATTCTTTTGCATGCTAATTTCGACATTAAAAACATATGAAGATTCTTACATGATTTTAGCATCGACGGATTTTTCTATTACAGCATTTCTCTTTTCTTCTATCACAGATTTCTCTTTTGTGCATTACTTATGTACTAACATTTCAATAACAACATCTGGTGCTGCTACGCTCAGTGGTGGACCTGTTTGTGCGAAATCCATTGATAAACTGCTCCAATATGGAATTATGAGGTTAGAAAACGGTTACAGATTGGTGATATACGAAAGAATTCTATTTTAAATTAAACTTGTCTAAAACGAACTACATATTAGAAGGGCCATTTGATTTGAGGTGGATCTACAAGAATGGATGTTCGAGTTACGTCTAGAAATTACTTGTCTATATATTTCAGGATGACATGAAAAATCAAATCAGGTGATAGAATCGTTTGAAAGATCGAGAAATAAAGGTATGTGCATTTTCAATTTTTTCTTAATCAATATACGTATGCATGAAAGATCTTTGATTTTGATGGGGCTGGTCTTCAAGTCCACAAAGAGCATCTTCACCGGTGAATATATGAAGAGACATTTTGGAGGGTATTTGACACTCATTTTTATGGAAAGATGAATTTTAAAATAATGGATTGATAAGGAATGTGTAGATGAAAAATAAGGAAAAAGTTTTTTATTTTCGTATAATATTATTTTAATGAAAAATGTGTAATTCAAAAGAAGAGAGTGAAAATTTCTTTTTGAGAATAATAGGAATCAAATGGGCCCAAGATGTGGTTACAATTATGCCAGCATGAAGAGTACGTTCAATAAATGAACACTTCTAAGATAGTTTGATTGAAACAGTTTCCTCTAAGACAAATACTTTCATGTGCTTCTGGTTCCTCATTCTTAAGATTAAGGTCCGACTGTGCTAAATTGCACAAATGATTATATCATTGTTCGCCTGTATTTAATTAGGTTTTCAGCTTCTTTTTTTTTTTTTTTTTTTCCGTTTTACCAGCGACTGGCCAGTATGATGTCTCGAGCATGATACTTGCGCTCCCTTCCTCTCATCAGTGTCCAATTCTTCAAGGCACTGGCAAGAAAGGAAAGGAAAGGAAAGTATGTATATATATATATATTATTATTATTATTATTATTATTATTATTATTTTATTTTTTAAAAAAAAACCGAAAATGCTCATTATGTTTGGAAAAAGAGTAGTTATTTTATAGGCTGGGGAATTGTGGAGACAAAATCGATACTACGGGTTTCACAGACTTTACATACAGCCCCCGATGTCCCGCACCTCATGGCAGCCATCTCCCTTTGCACAGACCAGTAAGCTCGAAACAATCAACAAGTTCACACGCTTATTAGTAAATGTTGCACAATACATGGATATGATGATTTCATTAATAATATAGGATATAAGTCTAGCTATTGACGATTTTTCCATGCCATATGAGGAAGGGAGCACGCTATGTATCATACAAATTCCTAACTTATTTTTTTTAATACGTTACGGGACCTATTGTTATGTTAATTTTGGTTCATACAATATTTGAGTTCTCCAACTTAAAATAAAGTTACCAGATAAAGTGTTGAAAAGTATGATGTTCAGAGAATACAAAAATATTGAGAAATTCAGCTTTACTTGAAGTTGCTGCGTCAAGGGTTCGAATCCTGAAATATAGATCTGACTCTTGGGTAAATGCAAGTGTACAAGCAGCCTTCCACCCTTTACCCTTGGAGGCATAATCTGCGATTTACCTCCGTCACGATACTCCAGGGCAGAGGTGGTGGGGGACCCTTAAGGTTAGGGGCAAAATCGACTCACGTCTACCTCTATTTATAGAAATTGTTAACCTCCTTAATGGAAGTATCTACATGAAAACAAGAAGAATTTCAATAGAAATTTTCTTCTTAAATAGTCAAATATGGTGGCTAGGAAAGTTTCACTTCAATTTTGCCACTTTCAAGTTGTGATTGGTGGAAAGGAATTCAAATTCAAGTTGGTCACTTGCAATTTGAAAACTTCTTCATGAAGTTTCAACAATTTTTATTGGAGTCAACAATTGTGGCTTTAATATTCAACATTTCTCCCACTTAAAGTCACTTTTGTTGACTCCAATAAAAATTGTTGGAACTTCATGAAGAAGTTTTCAAGTTGCAAGTGACCAACTTGAATTTGAATTCCTTTCCACCAATCACAACTTGGAAGTGGCAAAATTGAAGTGAAACTCTCCTAGCCACCATATTTGACTATTTAAGAAGAAAATTTCAATTGAAATTCTTCTTGTTTTCATGTAGATACTTCCATTAAGGAGGTTAACAATTTCTATAAATAGAGGTAGATGTGGGGAGAGAGAATGCAAGCAACTTGAGAGGAATTAGAGAGTAGAGAGAAGATTGGGAGTAGAGAGAAAAAAAAAATATTAGTTTCTCCTAAATATTACCTCGTATTCTCATATTACAAGAGAGATTAATTGTTGTTATCTCCTTGTATTTAGAGAGTTGTAATTCTCCTACTATAGTGAAATCCTCCTATACTTGCCCGTGGACGTAACCTAAATTGGGTGAACCACGTAAATACTTGTGTCCATTTTCAGCTGCGATTTCTCAATTCCATTTTGTTGTAAAGTCAAAGTCGACCCACGTTATTTTTAACAACATCAAAATAAAAGTAGAATAATTGATGAAAAGTCTACGTACGGTATAACAGGAGAAAATAATGGTACAATATTCAACCATGTTGGCCGATTAATCAGCAACTTTCTTTCTGCAAATTATAGACTTCGGTGTAGCTACAAACCAAGTATCAAGAGTGTAGGAGAGAATGTTACTGGAAAATCCAAATATTCATATAACTGTGGCCAAAATAATAAAAAACACAGAACCGATTCAGACATCATTATCTTTTTCACAACACAAATTTTAAAAGGATCTTGGCTTTAGCACAATAGTGGAATGCTTCAAAATGTGCAGACTGAATTGGCCACCTTTCTCACTGGTGTCTATCTTCGATTGCCCAGGAGGAGGCAACAGGTCGAAATTCTGCACCAAACGTCCCAAAGTAATGCCGAGAATAGGCAATGCAAGTATGATTCCAGGGCAGCTCCTTCTACCGACACCAAATGGGAGATACCGGAAGTCATTCCCATTGGCCTCAACTTTCGACTCCTCTTCCAAGAATCTCTCTGGCCTGAATTCCTCGGGATTCTTCCAGTGAGCGGGATTGTTAGCTAGCCACCAAGCATTGACCAAGATCTTGCTTTCGGCAGGAATATCGTACCCTCCAAGTTTGGCATCGTGGAGGTTCATATGGGGGACCAGAAGAGGAATAGCCATCCGTAGACGGAGGGTTTCTTTAACCACGGCCTGAAGGTATGGGAGTTTTAGGGTGTCGGGTTCCGTGACTTGCGCTCCTGGTCCGAGCACGGTATCGATCTCATCACGGAGTTTCTTCTGGATCTCAGGGTGATTGACTAATTCTGCAATACCCCACTCAATTGACCATAATGTTGTTTCAATTGCTGCCATGAAAAGCACATCACATCATTAAATAATTAAAAATAGTAAGTTTTGAGTATGAAATCAAATCGTATCTATCTAACTACACCAAACCTAATCTAAACAAGAAGCACATACGAGTATGCTCGGCTAAGCTTACAAACTTTTTTTAAAATAAATCTTTACTTCTCGAGAGGATAATATTTTTCTAAACTTAGCCGAACATGCTCTACAGACTGGTGGGAACGTCATGGCGATTAAATCAAAAGTGGGTTAGGTAAGCAAATTGCTATTAGTTAATGCTGGCGGGTGTGGGTGGTGCCCAGTGATGCCTTAAATTGGAAGAAAACATATCACGTGATGGCAGCCCACCAACCAAAACAAAGGTGTATTTTTTTATACTTGATTATTTAAAATCAACAGCACAATTTGCGTAGAAATACAAATTAAAAAAATATTCATATTGGTAGCCAAAGCGTGTACACAAGAGAAAAGTATACCTAAAACTTGTTTATAACCTAATCACGCACGCATCTATTTCTACGAATGAAAGGAATGTGCTCATGAATTTTATTTTATCCTCCTCTATGTTTCGTGGATCTAGAGAATGCCACACGGAGCAGGAAGATTAGAACTATACCAATATTTAATTGTGGATTTTTTTTTATTTTTATTTTTGTCAAGAAGACAAAAAAAAATAAAAAAATAAAAAGCAGGATAATTAACAAAAATATTAATATACAATCACAATAAATAAGCTTTAGATCCCAAACAAAGTCAGTAAGATGCAAAAGGATCACACCGTGTTTGGAAGCAATACCAGATATCGGTAGACGTGACAAAAATCGAGATTCAAACTTTTCTTCATTCACAATTGATGTCTACTCCATCGCACTAGACATATCATTAAAGTAGTCATCACATCCACGTCAATCGCTTGTATAAAATATTATGACCCTCCAATCAAATTTTTTTTCCCACACCATTGCACCAAAATTATCTTTCAAGTCATCATCACGTCCACATCAGTAGCATATATAATTATTAGTACTCTTCAATCAACATTTCACCCACAACCTTTAGTAGCTATACCAACCTCATCTTGTTGCCCCCAGCCCCCAGGGCATATCTCCAAGTGGTAAGAAGGGAGGGCGAAAAAATTCAACTTTGCTTTAGGCTATCGCGTCAAGGGTTCGAATCCTAAAATATGAATTTGGCTCTTGGGTAAGTGCAAGTGTACAAGCAGCCTTCCACCCTATACCCTTGGAGGCATAACCTGCGATTTACTTCCCTCACGATACTCCAGGGCAAGGGCCGGTGGAGGACCCTTGAGGTTGGGGTTCAACCTTATACCAACCTCATCTTGTTTACTCCAACCCCATGGGAGCGCTCCGGCTCGATTTAAGACGAGCATGGGGCGAGTCGAGCTCACTTCTTTTCACGAGCCGACTTGTTTTGGACTCGTGGGTGGACTTCTTTTTATTATTATTATTATTATTATTATTATTATTATTATTATTATTATTATTTTATTTTATTTTTATTTTTTTTATTTTTGCCTACTTATGGACTTATGTTATTAATATCTCTAGAAAGATTTGATCCTTTTGGACTAATTTTGCTAATTTATTTAAGAAAAATGACCGATGAGGCCCACAACCCAAAGGGTTGAGCTAAGGTCGGGCTGGCTCTGCTCAACCACATGATTTAACTACACGATCATTCTCTAAACACCAATTTCGGTAAAAATGTAACAGCGCACGACTCCACTAATATATTAGAGGGGTCGAAATAGGAATACGAGTTACGCCATGGAAAAAAAAAAGGAAGAAAACCAAATAAACTAGAGACGTACCAGCAACATTGATGTTCTCAACAATGTAAAGGACATTATCCTCGTTGATCTCTCCCTTTTGCTGAGCTTCAAGAATGTGATCAATGGCGCATTTCAGACTGTTGCTGTCCATTGGCTTTGTGCTGGCGAGCTTCCTGTCAAATGAAAACGACACATTAAAATTGAGGAGCAGTATTTTGAACTCTCAAGTCTCTTCTCTTCATTGCCAACGATTGTATATGCATTTGAATGGACGATTTTCATTCACTCGAACAATAAATAAAAGAATAGACAAGTGGATAAAAGATGATTCTAGCTGCAATAGGCGTTCTGAATTGGTAATATCAGTCATTGTCTGAACATGTTGAATACCTTATGAAGATTCCCAGTCATATAAATGAGTAAATTCACCAAAATGAAGTAGGCAAGGACCATAACATAAACCGATAAGCGCCGCTCCTGAAGTACTACAACTCTACACCCCGGATCTTTCTGATCAACTGCTCGACTATACCATATTATGTTCTGGTCGACCATAACGTAAACGGATAAACCCCAGCTCCTGAAGTACTATAACTTTAAACACCCGAGGGGTTCGGTTCGTGCTTTTCTGGTCTACCACTCGACTATACCTCCAAGCTACTCCGGGGATGATTACTTGTTGGCTCAAAGACAAAAATCATTTCTTGGGTGAATAGGGGATTCAGGGATTAACAAGTTTGAAAAGTCTCTGTATTCAACAATCCTATCCAAAGCTACAGTTCTAACTTTTGTACCCCTAATCAAAAGCAAGTTGCATGTTTGTTTATAGATTTCGCTTTTTATCATTAATCACTGTAAAATCTTAAATAAATTAACAAATCAGATCAAAAAGGAGGAATAAAAAAAATAATAATAATGAAAATACTTACTTTCTTTCATCAACGAAATAGTCCTTGAAGAGCTGTAATCTTCTCTCCTTAACCTCCTTGCAGATCTTAAGGTAACCTCTTAAGAAAGGCCTCAAGATGGGAATAAAATCTCCATAATTATACTCAAAGCTTTGAGCCAATCTACTCCTTTCACCATTCAATGCTTTGAGCTTCACAAAAGTAGGATCCTCTTCACTCTCAAACCTTGTATCAAACATGATCCTGTACATGTTATTGTACATCATTAATTGCAATCTCCTCCTTAAAACAATCCCATTAGTGGCGGATTCAGGGTTCTTCTTCACATCCTCAATCACAGCCGCCACTTCAGCCTCCCAACCATGGCGATACTGCTGCACAACCTTGTTGGTGAAAAACGGCACAGTCATGATCCGCCGCATCTTGCGCCAGTGCTCGCCGTAGACGGTGAACACCATGTCTTGGCCTTTACCGGTGAAAATATCGAACACGACGTTTCGTGTCCGTGAACCGAATTCAACTCCCTGAGTGTGCAAAACGTCCTTTGCAAGGTCCGGTGATGAGACAACGACGAGATTACGTTGGCCCATTCTGAGCAAGAATATCTCGCCGAATTTTTTGGCGTATTCGGTGAGATTCCGGTGGTTCAAATCATCGCCGACTTGAAGCCAGTTTCCGAAAACTGGCACCGGAATTGGGCCCGGAGGGAGCTTGAAGCGTTTGCCACGTAGTTTAGAGACTACAGCAGCAACTATAATGGCGAAGAAAAGGCCCAGAAGGGTCTTCTCTAGAAGGAGAAGATCCATTATTGGATGTAAGCTATCGAGAAATGAAAATGGTGGTCGTGTGTTCGCTCCCGGCGGAGGATGTGGTGCTGGTGATTGGACAAGGTAAAAGGTGGCGACGGTTTATATAGACGGGGTGGCACAGGTTAGGTGGAGAATGTGGGCATGGTGGTCCTCACAGTTTGGGGTTGGAGGATTTGACGGAGTCAAAGTTAACGGCAGGAATTAACGGAGAAAAGAGTAGGGGTTAAACGTGGTAGGTAAGCAGGTTTGGTGAGACGCACAAAGCTTATATTTTGAGTTAATGCTGCCGTCAACTACTACTTGTCTTCTTTTGACATTTATTTGAGTGTTTTTTATTGTAAGCATTGAACTTGTATGGATGGAGAGAAAATAAATTTTTAAATAATTAAATTATTTAGAAATTTATTTGTATGAAAAATATCGATTAAATTTATTTAATTAACTTAATTTCAACCTAAAAAATATTGGTTCCTGTTACGCCCCTAACTGAACCACTAGCCGAAGTGCCACGTGTCCATCCGAAGTGGTTCCGAAGTAATCCGACAAACCCCAACTTGACGCGCTACGAAGCGCGGGGTAGATCCACTGAATCAGCCGAAGTGCCCCCTGACACCGACGCGTTAGGCACTTCGAGGTGCTCCTTTAATAGATCCATCTGTCGCCCTTTCCAAAAAATCTGTATTAGGATCCTCTCTGCCTCCAAGGATTAGTTGATGGGACGTCTTCATAGGATTAGTTGATATAAGGTATCAACTTTATGGCAACTCAACTCAAAAGAATTAATTGCCCGCCTACTCTAGACACGGCTGATTGACCCCTATAAGCGGACGCCTCACACTATCAGATGCATGCACGTGTTTCACATCCAACGGTGCTCCACGTCCATAAATACCCAAGGTTTGGCAAGGGGGAAAGGTAATAAAACTCTCACAACTTAACTTTCCATACGAAGAAATATATGTATTCTCCTCTCCACTCTCTTACATAATTTGAGCACTGTTCTGATCACCTAACACTGACTTGACCGTCGGAGTGTATGCGGTCGCCGCCGGCCCCGCTGGTTTTGGCCGTGTGCTTCTGACAATTCGTTGTTGTGCACAGGGAGGATTACGTGGAGTAACTATCTGTTGGCCACGTGGAGGGTTCCATTCGCAAGGTCAATAAATTGGCACTATCTGTGGGAAGGTCCTTATCGCATCTGCAAGGAGTCCCAACCCGTTACTTATGAAATTGAAGACATGGCAGGGAAAGTGCTGCCTCATCAGTGGAACATTGAACACTTGAGGAAATACTATCAGTGATGTGTATGTTCTAATCCAATCTCTATTTTCTCAGTCCATTGTAACATTCCTAAGTGCTAAATGTTGTAAATTATAATACCTCAGTTCTCCATTATGTTCATAGGTTAATAAATTGGTACCTCACTTCTTCAGTATTTTATATGGGTCAATTCTTCTGTCATCGATTGGTTATTGTTGGTAAGTGATGCTCAATATTTACTTTTAGTATACGTTACTCATCAGGATGCAAACAGTTCAACAAAAAAAAGTAAAGGGACCATACAGTTAAAAAAATGTCATTTCATCAACATCAAAAAGATTACAAAAGTTCGGCCAAAGCCGTTACAATATGAGTCCTAATCTATTGGCACTATGGCCTTATCCCCCATTTTCACCACCTCCTGGGGAGCCTCCGCAAGTTCCTTAGTAGGTGCGATGTCTGGGCGATCTCCAGTAGGCCCACCGAACTCCGCCTCAAGAACAGAAGTGTCCAGTGTCGGATGAACCTCCTTCAGCCGCTCCAGCATCGCTTGGGCATTTCAGGAGGCTCAATAGTTGGCGAAGGTGTCATATAAAGGATGCTCCTCGAAATTATCAATGAAGCACAGCTGACTTACCGACAACTTTCGCCTCAGCCTTCAAAGACTCAATCTCTTTCACTTGGGCCTCCACCCTCTGCCTCAGCTCAACCTTCTCTTTGTTCGAGGCCTCCAGAGCCTCCGTAGCCAAACGATGGTGCTCGCTGGCGTGATCAAATCGCCTTGTCAAAGCAGCCTCTTAGCTCTCCGTCTCATGGAGCTCCTTCCTCAACCTCTCAACATCAAAGTTAGCTCTCCTTAGCTAGCTAGGCCTCTGCCCTCTTCCTCTCCGACTCAACAGTCTTGGCCTCCACCTCCCACACCGTTTCCTCATATGGTAAGCTCGCCTCCAACCGCTTGGCCAGGTCAACATTTTTTGCCTTAAGGTCCTTCACCAAGGCCTCAAGTTGAACACTGGTGCTCAGGGCTCTGGCGAGGCACGCAGTGCTGGCAGAAGCTAGGTCCTCCTTAGTACAGGAGGCAGTATGGTCCCTCCAAGCTTCAATCCAATATTTATTGTGGGCCACCGCCACAACTATTGTCTCGGGGGGAAGAGCCTCCAGTACTTCCCTCACTAGCTTCTCCTCATTCAAGCCCCAGAAATCCGCCTTTTTCCAAGCTAGCCCTCTTCCTTCTCTACTGTTCGAGCTGCTGGGACAGAGGTGCTGTAGGAATTGGGGCCGGAGTGGTATCAACCAGGCAAGCCTCTGGCGGAGGAATAACCTTTTCTCTGATCATGACCCCGGTTGGTATCGTCGTCTGGCGCGTGGCAATCCTCGCCACAATAGGGCCCTTAGATTGTTTCCCCTTTTTCAACAAGAGGGCCTCAGCCTCTTCCTCCTCGGTCACAACAGGCTGAAGTTTCTTGCTCGTCGCGATCAGATCCTCAGTCTATTTCTTGTACGCAAAAGAGGATGTCTTCAGTGCTCGAGCTTCAGACATCATCTTCTTGATGGTCTTGAAGTCGGGCTTCAGATGCCTCTTCTTGTTAAAGTTATCTGCAACAAAACAAAAAATCAGTCAAGTATGAACGCTTCAATCATAGACTATAATAATGTAACCTCTATACTCACCCTGAAGGGCCATGAGCTCATGCTCCACAAAATGGATATTCTTCCCTATCAGCTCGTTATAAGACCTCATCTTCGGGGGAAGCTGATATACGATGCAGATAGTGTCGAAGTCTTCTGTAGAGAACTCACAATGAGGAAGTATATCTGCATGAAATAAACAAGTTAAATTTCGAACTGAAAGGGATAGATATGCCAGTAAATTCAAAGTTTCAGTACTCATTACGAGTTGAGTATTTTGTTGGTGCTGTTAGGGGCGCCAGGGGGTCCCCTCCATCGTACCCCACCTCCTCAAAGTCCAACACCACGAACTCTTCCAGTCTTTTATGGAGCTCAACAGGTCAAGAACTAATGGAGTGTGGGCCCTCCAGGAGGTCAAGTAATACCACACCTTTGTTTTATCCCCCAGCTACAACCTTAGGTATATACAGGATCTGGAAGATAGAGAACGGTATCTCCTCCCCGTAAGACGCCTCTTTCCACAACATCTACGAACCCACCATTTGGCTCCAAGAGTTCGGGTTTAACTGAATAATGGCTAAGCCATAAGACCTCAAAACATACCTAAAGAAGGGGTGGATTGGTAGCCTAAGCCCAACCTTAAGGATGGCTTCGCTAACCGCCACACACCCTGGCCTGGGGTAGCAGGCTCGTTCATCTGGCCCCGATAATATGAGACCCACACTATCCGAAATCCTATACTCAGTCCTAAGTCTGGCCAGGTCAGTCGATTTTAATTTGGAATGATAGTCGGATGCTCCCCAATGAACTGAATTATCTACAAGACTATCTGGTCGTCTCCAGATATTCTCCCCCTATAATCGTCTCGAAAATTTCAGCCGAAGTAGCCAAAACGGGCTCATCTATCCTAACAACCTCTAGGTCCCCTCCAGAACACCCATTACCCTCAGAGGCCATGTTTTTTTTAGAAAAAGTTGTGAAAAACTCAAGAATACTTATGAAAGTCGACCAAAATGAGTGTCCTAACGCCAGAAAGATCAAGACCAACTCCTTAAAGTCGCCGAAGATCACTAAGAGACTCAAAACTCGCTGGAAATTGCCAAGAAATTTGAGAGCGATGGGGATTCTGAGTTTGCAAAGGTGAAAACGTTCGAATGGCACTAAGTACTCCTTTTATAGGAGACCTCAGACGATCCCCACCGTTGAATGTAAACGATGCTAATCTAGGCCGTTCATCTCATCACAAATCTGGATCGTTGAAATGAAACGTCGAATTTGATCGACGCGCAAGATCTGATTGTGCCCCTCAAACAAGCAAAAAATACGTCACCTCGAACAACAACAACCGTCAACAATAAGTAGCCGTAGCAACCCTTTTTCTGGGAACAGGCACTACATCCAACTGTCGCCTTGAAAATACGCGACAACTGTCACATCGATTAACGTCATAATAAGATGCTTCAGATCAAAGACAAGCCGTCCCAACTCACCTCGATTGCAGCATTGCAAAAATTTTACAAAGTTTTAGCTATCTCCCAGCGCATCGTCCCCTGTAGGTCAGCGCACCGATGGCAAATAAGCTCTTTACTAAGCTTTACAAAGCTTCGACGCACTTGATGAGGAGTTCCCCATGAGTTATCACCTCGGTCGATGCGTTCCCTCCTAAACTTTACAAAGCTTTAGCCATTTCCCAACACGTCGTCCCGTGTAGGTTAGCGCACCGGTAGCAGATAAGTTCTTCACCAACTTTACAAAGTTTCGACGCACCTGATGCGGAGTCCCCTGCGAGTCATCGCCTCGATCGCTGCGTTCCCTCCTGAGCCTTACAAAACTTTAGCCATCTCCCAACGTATCGTCCCCTGTAGGTCAACGCACTGGTGGCAGATGAGCTCTTTACCCAATATACACAATCGGGAAAATAAGTCCACCCATGATATGAATATTCATGCCTGAATTTGGGGGGACCACTGTTACGCCCCCAACTGAACTACTAGTCGAAGTGCCACGTGTCCATCCGAAGTGGTTCCGAAGTAATCCGACGACCCCCAACTTGACGCGCTACGAGCCGCAGGGTAGATCCACTGAATCAGCCGAAGTGCTCCTTGACGCCGAAGCATTAGGTACTCCGAGGTGCTTCTTTAACAGATCCCTCAGCTGCAACTTTCAGAAAGATCTGTATCAGGATCCTCTCTGCCTTCAAGGGTTAGTTGATGGGACGTCTCCATAGGATTAGTTGATATGACGTATCAACTTTATGTCAACTCAACTTAGAAGAATTAATTACCTGCCCACTCTAGATTCGACTGATTGACGCCTATGAGCGGATGCCTCACACCTTCAGATGTATACACGTGTTCCACATCTAACGGTGCTCCACGTCTATAAATACCCAAGGCTTGGCAATGAGAAAAGGTAATAAAACTCTCACAACTTAACTCTCCATACTAAGAAATATATATATTCTCCTCCCCACTCTCTTACATAATTTGAGCACTGTTCTGATCATCTAACACTGACTTGACCGTTGGAGTGTATGCGGTCGTCGCCACCTCCGCTGGTTTCAGCCGTGTGCTTCTGACCGTGCGTTGTTGTATGTAAGGAGGATTACGTGGAGTGGCTATCTGTTGGCCACGTGGAGGGTCCAATTCACGAGGTCAACAATTTTGTCTTAGTGTGTAGATGAGGAAAAAGGGGGTAAATTACCTAAAAAATGAAAGCATACCTCGCACGTAGGATGCTAACCAATAATGGGGAACTATAAATAGCATTACTCGTAAAAGAATAGAAGTCTAAGGACCTTATCAACATAATCAATTATTTATATTATACTCGTATCCTTAGCTGACTTGAGTGTTGGATGGCCTTTTTGACTATTTTAATACCTCTTTAGACGTGCATTCTTTTGCAGTTAAACTCTGAGATCAATCGTACAAGGACCATTGATGAATCTCATAAACATTTTGTCAAGGATGCTAAACTTGAAGTAATTTCAACCGTCAGCCTCTAAGCTTCACAAGAGTTACAGTTACATTCTACAAGCCAGGGATAAAAATTACCTCAAATGTTGCCTACTCCGGGAAAGGACAAGACCTCTCATTTTCGGCGACCATCTTGCTTCAATGAATGAGAATCAATTATTCTTCTCATTACTTTTGAGGAGTTTCTCGTTAGGCTTGAACGCCTCTTGATAGAGTATACGCACATTGTAAAGTCTATTTTTCAGCATTCTAGGTGCTTCACCTACTAATGCTGGCCTCTTAGTTTGCTTACAAAGAGGTGGTGGCAACTCTTTGAACTAGGGATTCCTCCATCACCTTTGAGGATCTTTTTGACAAAGTCGTTGATCAAGAGAC